GGAGGGTGGGAACCAGAAGGGTCTTCTGGTAGAGAGAGAATCATCAGCGGTGATGGAGGAGCCTATGCATGCTGATAAGACGGTGAGCAAGAACGGGAGGGTAACAGCTATGGCGAGTGACTTTAGGCCGCGTTTGGCCATCATCTTTCGTTTCTGGCGTTTGTCTCCGATCATCCCGTTGTCGTTGGCGGCGGTGTCTGGATGCCGTGTGAGTCGATGTCTGAGGTCATTGGAAGCCATGGAAGAAGAGTGAGGAAGAAAGGAAGAGAACAGAGGGTTGGTGTTCGTGAAACTTTCTCGGTGCGTGATAGTTTTTAAGGAAAGGACATGGATTGTGTGGTGGAGTGACACGTGGATAGATGTGATGGAATGGATGCAGATGTTCGGGCGCGTGTGCATGAGAGAGAAAATGTGTGGATCTCTCTGCATATGTGGAAGCACTCCCAAACTACACGTGCCCATCTCAGAAAGGAACTGACTTGAGNTCCAGAGAGCTCTCAGGCATTGCAAGGTCACCATCCTCTGCCTGCTCCTCACCATCGTTGTCCTGCGCGGCACCATCGGTGCTGGAAAATTCGGCACGCCGGAGCAGGACTTCATCGACATTCGCAACCGTTTCTACTCCCGCAAGCTCCCTGAGAACGATCGCCACCTTGGTGAGCTTCAATCCACGACGTCCAACGATTCCAATTCCATCACCGACTACAATGCCTTTGACATCAACACCATATTGGTCGACGAACCAGAAGACGTGAACCGCGAGAAATTGAACCCGGAAGAGCCGTATCGTCTCGGCCCCAAAATATCGACCTGGGACCAGCAACGATCTCGCTGGCTTCGCAATAACCCCAATTTATCAAATTTCGTTCGGCCCAACAAGCCTCGTGTTCTTCTGGTAACTGGGTCATCGCCGAAACCCTGCGAGAATCCCGTTGGGGATCATTACTTGTTGAAGTCAATTAAGAACAAAATTGACTATTGTCGTTTGCATGGGATTGAGGTGTTTTACAACATGGCTCTCCTTGACGCTGAGATGGCAGGGTTCTGGACCAAACTTCCTTTGATTCGGAAGCTTCTCTTGTCTCACCCTGAGCTGGAGTTTATATGGTGGATGGATAGTGATGCCATGTTCACGGACATGGCGTTTGAGGTGCCGTGGGAGAGGTATAAAGACCATAACTTGGTGATGCATGGGTGGGATAAAATGGTTTATGATGAAAAGAATTGGATTGGGCTGAACACTGGGAGTTTTCTGCTGAGAAATTGCCAGTGGTCTTTGGATATTCTCGATGCTTGGGCTCCAATGGGGCCTAAAGGGAGGGTTAGGGATGAGGCTGGGAAAGTGCTGACGCGTGAGCTCAAGGATAGACCTGTTTTCGAAGCTGATGATCAATCTGCCATGGTTTATCTGCTGGCTAAGGATAGAGACAAATGGGGTGATAAAGTTTATCTCGAGAACGATTATTACTTGCATGGTTATTGGGGGATTTTGGTTGATAAGTACGAGGAAATGATTGAGAATTACCATCCTGGTCTCGGGGATCATAGGTGGCCATTGGTGACTCATTTTGTGGGGTGCAAGCCTTGTGGGAAGTTTGGGGATTACCCTGTTGAGAGGTGCTTGAAGCAGATGGATAGGGCCTTCAATTTTGGGGATAATCAGATTTTGCAGATTTATGGATTTACGCATAAGTCGTTGGCTAGTAAAGAAGTCAAGAGAATACGGGAGGAGACTAGCAATCCCCTTGAAGACAAGGATGAAGTTGGGTTGCTTCATCCAAACATTTAAAACAGTTGATGTATCATCTTCTAGGTCAGTTTCACTCTTTTTGTACGAGGTTAAATAGTCAGAAAACTCGTCATCAGGGTGCATGTTAGTGCAAAAATCCGATACTCTTTTTGTATGACCGATATTTTCTATGCACCACCCCTACTTAATAGGTAAATTTATCATTATCTTATAAAACTAAAATCAGATATTTGTTACAATATATAAAGTTCAACAACTCAATCAACATTCAAAGCTCGAATATTATTCTTTATTAACCAGTTCGATAAAAGACAAATAACAATAGCCAAAAGTTTATATTTTTAGAAGCATACACCAAGCTCCTTCACTTAAACTCATTTACTCTCTTAATTCGTACTTTAATATGCAGTTTTACTGACGTGATCGACTTATACTAAAAGAAATCGAGACACCACCAATCTTGATAGTTAGAATGTAAATGTCAAATTTTAGTTTTTAAAGTTGTAATTTTTAAGATATTAAAAATAAATTTATTGTCTGCAATAAGTTTATTTAAATTAAATAAGATTTTCTCTTGTGGAAAAATCTACGTAAAAATTCAAGCAAGTCAATATTTTAAAATGCTATTTTATGGATGCGGCTTTTTTTACTTACGTTGACTCTTTATTTAAAAGAAAAGTTATTTTCATCTAATTTATTTTTTTTCTTAATATCAATTTTGATTCCAATTTTTGTCGGCTTGAAATGGTTCTAACTTTTTTTCTCTCTTCAATGTTGTCCTAAAGAATGTAATTTATGTTCAATTTAGTCCTTTTTGCAGACGGCGTTTAAATCGTTAACGACACAGTGTCAAACTGTGCAATAAGTGAATGTCAATGTCATTTAACTGCTGACCTGCCTTGCCACGGGACAGTCCCTTCCCCACCCAATAAATTTGGGTTTCTGAATGAAAGGGGGAAAGACTTCCTTACGCCTCCGCCGTTAGAGAAAAACTGAAGCTTGCGATGGTCCAATTGACCATAGTGGGTCTGTCGAAGTTTCGCAGAAACGAGAGCAAACTCCTTTCTTGCGGTGCGTTGAGGGTTGTAGCGGCGGCGTCTCCGCAAAGGTTTAATCTCCGACGTAGTCGTGATGCGAGAAGCCCACCGATCTCAGGCGGTTTCACAGCAATAGGACTCGCGATTGAGGGTTTCGATTTGGGGAGTTTTTGTTGTGTTATTTGGTTTTTGTAAATTGAAATATATGATTTTCGTTTCAAAATTGATTTGGAGAATTATTGGTTCTTCTCTGTTTTGTGAGTGATTAGGGATTCTGTTCTTCCCTACAGGTATGGGTTTTGGGTTTTGCGAAGTGGGGGATGAGGGTTCAGATTGAGAATGTTAGGGTTTCTGAAAGGGTTCTTCTTTGTTGGGGATGATGGTTCTTTTTTGTTTTTTCATGAATTTGTTTTTTCGTTTTGGGTTATTTGATTCGCGATAATGAGTTTCGTGGTGGTTGTTGTTGGATGCACGAGTGGCGCCAATGAAGGTGCTGGTAGGTGACCATGGGTGGTGTTTTTGGGTGGTTACTGAATGGAGAAGATAATGGACGTGCGAAGATGGTGATGACGTGTCAAGGATGATGTGTCATTTATTGCACAACTGGATAGTGCGCGGTTAACGAAGTCTGCAAAAAGGACTAAATTGAACATAAATTACTTCCTTTAGAACAATATTGAACAGAAAAAAAAATTAAGACCATTTCATTAAGCCTTTATTTTTTAATGTGTGCAGCAGCTAGACTCTTCAGTCTGGTGGAAAAACAAAATTAACGTAGTTTCTACGAAATTCTAAAAAAGGGACGAGGATGAAGACAAATCCTTTGTAAATTAATAGTTGAGTTATATCTGAAAATCTGGTGGTACAACTAGTAGTCTCCTTCTCCACTGTTACAGTTAATATGGTCAGTCTGAAATGATCAAACTAATAAGGACTAGGCAAAATCTGGGATAGCAAATGGACTCACTGCCCAAACACATTTACAAGGTTACTTGTGATTTATGACAAATTCTAGATTTAGAGGTAGGAAAAATAATATTTTTTCTGCATCATTACTGAATATTGCGTTCTGCCTGTATGTTAATTATGATCTAATCTGTATGCGTTATAATCATTTGCTTTTTCTGAGTCATATATTTTTTAGCTTTTACAACATTAATTATGGAAATTGTTTGCGACCTAAGCACCTAACAGACATTAATTATGAAAATTGCTTGCGACGTACGTACCTAACAGGGACTGTAACTCTGACTGAGAATGCGAAATTTTGTCATGTTTCTTCTTTTTAGAAACTGTTTCATATAAGATATCATTCTCGTTCTCTCAGTTGTAGACAAGGCATTTGCTACAAAACCAGGAACTTTTGAAAAACCAAGAACTTGGTAATGAAGGCGTGCAAAGAGGTTAAGTTTCTTGGAAAAGTTCCATTTTATCATTTGATTTGCATTATCATTAGTATTAACTTTGTGCCTTGACAAAAGCAAGGCCAGCAGGTAACCTAAGTGAGAAATCAGGTTCGATTGTTACATGAATAAAATTCTAGGCCAAACTAGATCCAAAAGTTGCTTTGTTACTATTATTTATATGAAATAACACTTTACAGCCATCTTCTTCCCTCAATGCCCTTGAGAAAATATCATATCATCTGTTCATAAGTTCTTATTTTAACGCTTCGTTCCTCATGTTCGAGTAGGTGTGGTTTATGGTACTCTGAACTATGAACAAAGCAATTTTAGTATCTAATGGTTCAAATCGTGCCATCTTACTTATTAGTGAAGTAGCTAATTCGTATACATGTGTAAGAATTGTAGACATATGTTTTTACCTCTGGAATAAGGTTACATGACGGGACAAAAGTACGTGCGTATACGTTCTAAATCCCATCATTTTTTTTTCTTGATTTTGCAAAATATCTTTAAGCTGAAATGTTAGAGATGCTATTGTAGGTTGGTCTTGGATAGAAAGTAAAGAAATTTGTATATGTTGACATCCCTGGCAACTAGAGTTGGAGAAACGTTAAATTTTGAAAAAACAAACGACAAATTTACAAATTTAGCACACACCAATCACATTCGAACAACATACACAAAGAGTCGTCCAACCTGAAAATAAAAAGGAAAATGGAGTGCAACAAAAATACTAGGAAAATGTTATTTACAACACGCATATGTCCAGTAGGCGATTCAGGCGACTGTTTACACAACAATTCTACGTAACACTGTTGGCTTCATCTTCATTGGTAGTAGCAGTGGGGTGTATAAATATGCATGTATGCGTTCAGATAAAAAGGAGCTTAATATTTACAATAGATAGAAAAGCAACCCATGCCAGAGAAGGCTTTATCAAATCAGCAGCAATGGGATTGACGGAGCGAAACACAAGCATGCACCCGTACTGGCTCACGAACAACCCTAAACAGAGCATCAGGCTGAGCCGTGTGGCCCCAGCAGCAAACACAAGGGGATCCCAGAGCACCGCGAAAAGGATTTGAGTGAAGTAAAACAACAGAGCCATGCGGTTTCGGTGGAAACCTCCTTCTGCCCAGACCATCCAGGCGGCCATACCCGTCAAGAAGCTTATGGCGGGGCAGGTGAAGTGCACGGCCCAGGAGGGTGGGAACCAGAAGGGTCTTCTGGTAGAGAGAGAATCATCAGCGGTGATGGAGGAGCCTATGCATGCTGATAAGACGGTGAGCAAGAACGGGAGGGTAACAGCTATGGCGAGTGACTTTAGGCCGCGTTTGGCCATCATCTTTCGTTTCTGGCGTTTGTCTCCGATCATCCCGTTGTCGTTGGCGGCGGTGTCTGGATGCAGTGTGAGTCGATGTCTGAGGTCATTGGAAGCCATGGAAGAAGAGTGAGGAAGAAAGGAAGAGAACAGAGGGTTGGTGTTCGTGAAACTTTCTCGGTGCGTGATAGTTTTTAAGGAAAGGACATGGATTGTGTGGTGGAGTGACACGTGGATAGATGTGATGGAATGGATGCAGATGTTCGGGCGCGTGTGCATGAGAGAGAAAATGTGTGGATCTCTCTGCATATGTGGAAGCACTCCCAAACTACACGTGCCCATCTCAGAAAGGAACTGACTTGAGAAGCAGCTTCTATTTTACACGTGTTCATCTCAATTGATTTTGCCGACATACGTAACAAACATAATTTTTCACCAAATCTAAGCAACTCACTGCCACCTCATCGTAATTTAATGACAGAATAGCCTGTATTTACTTCTGTGCAATCGCTATATCTACACATTTGTCCTCATTATTAAAGTTTTAATGATGTCACGCATGTGTTTTTATTTGATATGTATTTTTTATGAAGTTGTCATGAAAACAATTCAAATTTTCAAAATTTGGGTTACGTAATATAATTTTATGAGTTTTCAACGATGATATCCATTTTTTAAGAATTTTAAAGTCAGGGATTAAAAAAACGTAACACATCATATTAAAAAAAAAAACTCAACAGGATTTCCAAGAAATCCAATGCTTACTAAATCTGTTTGTTTGTCGGATTTTAATGACAATTTATATAATCTAAATTTCGAAATTAGGTATATGAACGAAAAATGATAAATAATTGCCAAATCTGTCTGATTTTCATCGGAAAACTTGAAAAATAATAGTGTAAATGAAGAAGAACAGTAAATACATATCTTTTTATTTAAAAGAATGAACGAAGACGAAATCTGAAGACAAAATTTGTTGAAGAAGAACACCATTAAAAGAAAAGAAAAGAAGACTGAAAAAGAAAAAGTCCTTAAAGAGTGTGCTCATGAAAATGACTTGGAGTTGGAGTGCTGGGAGAAGTAAATATAATAGCGGCAACAATAAACAAGACTGCTTACCTAATTAATTTATAATTTATATATATGATCTTTAGGGTTATAATGGACATCAGAGTTAAATGTCGGGTTGAGGAAGAGAAAAGGTGGGGTGCAAGAAGAAGGCCTTTTTGTTCTTTTAGGAGTGAGAATCTGGTGAGCCCATGAGACGAAGCCCAGAAATAAAAATTAGAGAGAAAGAGAAAGTGGAGGGCGTTGATTGTGGAAGAATAATAAAACGGAGATGGGTGGCAGAAGGTTGAAAAACAGAGAAACCATGGGCGTTGAATCGGTGGCGCCGTCGCCGCCACCTCCGAGATCGGAAGGAAAAACCGCTTTGCTCCAAAACCCCAAG